TAAACATTTTGAAATGGAAAATAACGGACTCCAACTAAACTCAAATACAAACTCTGAACATACTAGCATACTTGGACGCATAAAGAAAATAGACTGACAAACAACAAACTTTAGAATGGAAAATACCAACTCGATCTATGAATACATTAGTGCTTCAAAAGTGGGTGCCCGCGGGGCATCGTTCGGCCTCGCCGCGGGCTTAGGTGCCAAATCCCTTTCAAGTTGCTCCAGCTCATACATGGTTCGCTTGACATAAATTATTACTTCCGAAAAGAAGGTAGTGCGGGTCATGTCTTCACACGCCCGACATCTCCTGAGGATGGCGTGGGCAATGGTCTCAATCCTATCTCTTGTTCGACCCTTTTCTATAAGCAATCGCCTTACTTGATTATTGCGAGCCTCCAACACATGAGAATCCTGAAGATGCTGATCCTCCAGCTGCTGTATTTCTACTTCCATTTGGGCCAGTAAGTCATAGCAGTGTCCACTTTCAGTCTCAAAAGCTTTAGCTTGCTTAACTGCTTTATCCTCAAGGGTGACCACTTCCCTTTTCAGACTACCGATGGTCTTTTCATAATCCTTCTTTAATTGTTGCATGTAATGGGTGCGTTCTTCCGTTCTTTTTACCCATTGTGCCCGGAGTTCCGCTATGGTGCCTTCGAATTTTTTCAGTTCATCCCAGCACTCACCAATTTCCCTTTTCAGCCCCTTTATCAACTGCTCGTCCGACCGGCTCCTTTGTTGTTTATTGGCAGCTAACCTCATTTGTTGGACTTGGGCCCTAAGCGCCTCGTTTTCTTGGGTCAACCTGTTCTTTTCTCCCTAATCAGCAGCAACTTGCACACTGTTCTCAAATTTCAGAGCTCCGATCTGTTGTTTCAGCTTGCTGATTTCGGCCTGATAGCCTTCTTCTTTTGCTAGCCAACCCCATTGTTCTTGTGATTATTCAGTGAAATCCTGGATGTGGGGTCTTTTAGCTGGCCTCTGATGCTCAAGTTCTCTTTTGTACCATGTAAGGTATTCCGGCGCATTTCTCCTTTGGCCCGATTCTGCACACAAGTATCTACTTGTAGATATTGACATTCATTCCAAATCTCGCGGACTTTTGCTTCGGGAAACTGTCCGTCAGGGCTAATCTCAATTACTTGAACACTAAGATCTTCCTCCCGTGGCACGGTTTGGCTTCTCCCGAGTTGTCTCAGAACCCGACATGGAGCATAAGGCTGGATGCTCTTAAGGCCCATCAAAAGAAAATGCGACCTAGCTGCTGGCATGTATATGATTTCTTCAACAGGCAACCATCCCAACGTCCACTGTATCTAACTGTCTGTGAGAGTACGAAAGTATGATATCCATGCTGTTACTCCTTCAGGCAAACTAACCCCGTCAATCCTTGTGTAAAACTCTCATATACATGTCTTGTCAGATGAACCATAACTCAAGAGCGGGGAACGGTAGCATAGATGCTCGGTCATCCACATTTGTAGCAACAAGTTACACCCCTCAAAAAAGTTGCCTCCGGCTTTGCAGGCAGTGAGAGCTCGGAAAATGTCAGACACGATAATAGGCGCAAGAGTGCTTTTAGTTTGAGCAAGCAAGGTACTGACGACCCCGACTATTTTTATATCAATATTCTCGTCTTTCCTTGGGAACACCAGGAGGCCCAAAAAGGTTATCATGAAAGCCACCCATCTGTGCGCATCCCACTTTCGACGGTTATTTTTACTGCATAGCTTGATGTCCGGCTTGTTAAACCCTCCCACGTGGGCGTACCTGTCGTATATGAAGCGCAGAGTGCAAAAACCTTTTGTCAAATCTGGATTATGGACCGTCCTGGGTATCTTCAATGAATCTAAAAACTGATGAATCGTGATGGCTCTTGGAGCAACCAGATATTTTCCTCTTAACGAAACCTCAGCATTTCCGATGTACCCGGCTATTTCCTGCAGAGTTGGGGTGAGCTCAAAATCTGGGAAGTGGAAGACATTGTGCGCTGGGTCCCAGCAAGTGACCAACGCTCGTATAATATCACCCCGAGGTTTGATTTCCAGCAGACACGTAAGACCTTTCAGATATTTTTTGATTTCGTCTTGTCCTTCTTTGCCTAAATCGTTCCACCATAGTCGCAACTCGCAAGGGATTTTAGTCATTATTGAGAAATGTTCGTTTTGCATCGTGCTCATCCTGCACATTTATTAAGGTGATTTAAGCAAAAACTTTTATTTGACTCAAAACAAAATTAACTATTTCCTTTTCCAAATTTAAAATGAAAGACTCGGTTTTCAAACAAGGCCTTTCGGCACTCCCAAGAACGAAGATTTTAAGGCTGTGAAAGTCAACCGGTCAAAAAATCAAAAATTGACCAAAGGTGGCAGTTATGCAAAGTCAGCCTTCCGGCGTCCATCTCGAGAACGTTCGGCTGTTTTTAACAAAACGGCATCACCTAACGTATTTATGACTCTTTTGTTTTTCGTTTTTCAAATTAAAATAAAGACCCGGTATTGCAAACACGGCCTTTTAATGCCTCGGGGATGACAATTTTAAGGCTGTGTGGGTCAATTAGCAAAAAATCTAAAAATGACTAAAGATGGCCGTTTATGCAAAGTCAGTCTTTCGGCGTCCCTTTCAGGAACATTCGGCTAGTTTGACAAAACGGCGTTACCCGACTTATTTATGACAAAAATTAAAATTTTGATATTTTTTTTTGGCTATTTTTGCAAAGGGAAGGTTGGACCCGATGAGGGTTGCCTACGTATCTCACGCCCTGTGAGAATCAAACCTGCGTAGTTCGGGCGAAGAAACTAACTATATTTTGAAAACAAGGTTCTTTCTTTCCATTTTCCATGGCAAGACAAACTATTTTTCCTTTTCTATTTTTGAAAACAAGACAAAATAACGACTCTCCTTTTCTTTTCATTTTCAACAAACAATAAATAATCTATTTTTCCCAAACTAAAACAAAGACTCTTTTTCTTTTCTTTTTCAACAAACAACTTTTCAAAAATAAAAAAACTCTTTTCTATTTTTCCTTTGCTTTTTAGTAAAACAAACTATTAAAAATAAAACATTTTCCTTTTTCCATTTTCTCAAAATTTCGGCAGAGTTTCGACAGTATTTGGTCATTGGTTTTTCTAAAATAATCAATTAACCCCCTAACTGTTATTTCTCTCCTTTTCTCTTTTCCTCTTTTTCTCAATTTTCCAACATTCCCGAGATTCAAAAGCCGGTCAACATGCCAGTTCGAAACAAATGTATGTATAGAACAAGTAGGATGCATCAGGATGGTCTTTTCATTTCAGGTTGTTATCCCTAGACGGACCCAACCCCTATGTTGAGTCCCCTAAGTCAAATGCAACATGATGCAATTAAGCGCTCCTACTAGGGATCCGGCATGAAGTCAAGTTACTCTAGGTTCAAAACCTGGGTATGTGTTCTAAACAGTGCACTCGAGCGGACAACTTGAGTCGAGGAGGGGGAAGCGTACCGGGGACCCGCGAGATCGTCCGGCTTTGCAACTTATCCGAGCCTCTTTTTAATTTCAGGGTATGACACTAACAGAATAGGGAGTCTCAACCAGTAAGCACATCCCCGGAGGTGAAAAGAGAAGGGTGTCAGCACAGTTTATATACAGTTCAGATAATACTAAAGCGGTAACACTTAGCACATTCAGCACAAAATATGTAGGAAAATCAGATATAACCAAATACAACAATTATTCTAAGCTCGAATTCTTAAACATTGAACCAGAGATTCTGGGTTCGATCCCAGCATAATCGCCAGAGCTGTCACACTCCTTTTTTACCTATACCCCGTAAGGGCATAAATATAAGGGAGTTTTTCCACTTAAAGGACAATTGGAACAAGATTTAATTATTAATTATTCAGAGTCGCCACCTGGGAAATTAAAGGTATCCCAAGTCACCAGTTTTGATTCCGAACCGAGGAAAACTATGACTCTGTTACAGTCTGCGAACCAGAAATCCGAGTAAGGAATTCTGTTAACCCGGGAGAAGGTATTAGGCATTCCCGAGTTTCGTGGTTCTAGCACGGTCGCTTAACTATTGCATTTGATTTTATCTGATTTTAATACATGCTAGCTTATGTGCCTTTTATTCGTAAACCGCTTTTTATCATCGTTTATTTTAAAGGAATTGCGACGTCGTGAAAACGCGCTTCGAACCACGTCGCAATCAATGCACCCATGGTAGTCAGCACATTTTGACCTCGTCGAGACTTGGATTTGGGTCGCATCAATGCACACCCGAGTTTAAGGAAGTAAATTTTAATCAAATCGCGTCTAAATAGTTTAACGCAATATTATTTTGGGGAAGGCCATTAAATTCACTAAACGGCCCTCCCGAATTCTAACTATTTTAACAACCACTTATTGAGGGCCCCGCATTTGTAGTTTTATTCGGCGAGGCTCGTCTCATCATTTTTGTTAAAAGGCCAACCTAAAAAGTGACTACAATTTTCTATTTTTGGTTTTGTCTCTAAAAGAAAAAGAAAATCCTAATTGATTATTATCCAAACTCGGGCTTCGAATTCAAACCCGGATCCAAATATCCAAAACAGAAGGAACGGACAACCGGCCTTGGGCCTCAAAGGGCCCAGCACAATTGGGACGAAGACTCTTGTGAATGCAGGCGTTGGGCCTGGAATGGCCCATAGCAGTTGAGCTTGCGGAGGTCTGGGGATCGATCCCTTGGATTGACAGACCACCAATTTGGACTCATTTCTTAATTAAATCCATATTATATACCCCCAGTGAACTAACAGGCTATTACACTACGAATGATGAAATGCAGGCAACCATTTAACTATTCCACTATTGAGTCAACTTGAGCATTATTAAAATGATAAGTTAAGCCAAATGTAATCCTGAACTTATCATACTAATTTAAATCATGTCACTAAGGCACTAAAACTCACAAACTAGTCATTAACAAACACCTGTTAAAATTAACAATTGCAACAAAGACATTGTTTAAAAATACTACTGTTTCGATGCCTCATTTTTATTTTTTCTGTAACCCATAATATACTATACTGGCAGCATTCATTCTAAAACTAAAGTTAACCATCATGATGACTTAGTTACAATACACCATGTCTATATGCCATATATCAACTATACAGTTATACGGCGCAGTTAGATGTCTAGAATATACAATTCAATTAATACAACTGTGAATATCAAATAGATGTGGAAATATCTAAACTTAATCCGTTTTTGTATTGCAATTCCAGGACAACCATGAACTTCAATTGTATTCCATGTTCAAATTACATCAACACAGGCTGAGAACGTGTACCTGAGATTTGAAAGGAAACAGAAGAAGAATGGATCAGAAGCTGCAATGCAACAGTATAGTTCAGGAGCAAATTCAGCAATCCAAACAGAGGAATCAACAACCCAGCAACTCAGAATCCAAAATTTTGACTCAACACTGAATTTTTAAA